ACAGAGGGAGGGAGGAGACAAATGGGGGCAAACTGCCCAAGGCCACGGAGCCAGGACAGCATGCCTAGGCCTGATCGAGGCCCATGATACCACGGCCTCTAACCAGCCCTCCGTGGCTCTTGTCTGGATGAGGCCACAGTAGCCTTGAGTCAATTGACATTTGTTTAAATCACTCACTGATTCCCTTACCTCCCACTGTACAGATGAAGAAACCAAGGCTCAAGAGAGGCAAAGCTGTGCCCGTGAACCCAGCTGTGGTAGGGGTTATATGGAAGGGGTTTCCAGAAGGCAGGAGAGAGGAAGGCAGAGCGAGGCTGACGAGAGGGAGGAGTTCACGTACCTTGACTAGAAAGCTGTTGTCACTCTCCTGAGTCACCATGACCACTGAGTCATGCAGCTTTTCATCAAAGTGGACATGGCTCTGGGAGCCCTCTGCATCATGGCCTGCTGCAAATCGGATACTTCGGACTCTGGGCTTATTGCCTAGGAAGAGGAGGAGAAGGCTCCAGGGGCCGCTGGATTCCCTACACCAGGAAACCCTCCTCTTCATTCCCTCCCCGTGCCCAGACTGCTCTTGACATGACCCAGCATACACCGACGAGGGCCCTGCCAGGTGGATACTGTTAATCTTGAGGCTTGAGCACCCCCATCACATAGCTCCCCGTGTAGTCTTCCCACAAATGTGCGCGTGCGCGCGCGCACGCGCACACACACACACACACACACACACACACACACACACACACACACAGCATAAATATAAGAAAGATTCAGGGGCTAGCTGATAGGACCTCTCACTTGGAGGCAAAGAGGCTGGCACCTTCTCTACCAGCATGCAGTGCAGAGATGGGCCCTCCACAGCATCATACTCTCCATCCCTGGCATTTTTTCATGTGTGTGTGTGTGTGTGTGTGTCCATCTGTCTGTCTGTCTGTATGTATGTATCTGTCTGAGTTGATGTGCATAATGTGCGAAGCAAGAAGGCACTGGATTTGCCAGGTGTAGTGGCACAGACCTTTAATCCTCTGGGAGGCAGAGGCAGGTGAATCTCTGTGAGTTCAAGGCCAGCCAGCACTACATAGTAATATCCTGTTTCAAAACAACAACAACAACAACAACAACAACAAAGGCAATGGATACCCAGGAACTAGATTCACAGGTGGCTCTGAGCTACCTGATGTGAGTCCTGGAAACTCAACCCAGGTCCTCTGCAAGAGGACTGCTGAGCCATCTCCCAGCCCCCACTGACACTGTCCTTTTCAGGTTTGTTAGTGTATGAGACAGGCCCAGCCTGAGGCTCCTGATAATCCCAACCAACCTGGGGTACAGCAATAAGAACGAACTCTAGGGAATCCACTTGCAGTGGGAGAAAAAAGGTGCTAAAGCCACACTTTTGAAAAGCTGAAAAAACAAAACAGCTGGCCATTTACAGCTGCCACTCAGTATCAATGGTCACTAGCAACTAAGAAGCGGAGAAGCCTCCCAGGCCACCCCACACTGTTTCCTCCTCTGCTAGCATAGATGAGAGATATTAGCTATCACTGTGATGTGTTGGGAGTCCTAAGGCCAGATAGGGCAGGGATTTAGAGATACTGAGTGGCTAGAGATAGCCAAGAGCCTGGACATTCAGCCTATGGGAAAGGAAGGGCATGACCCCAGTCCTCTGTGACCCTCCATCAAGGCCTTAGGCCTCCCAAGAGTCCGATCCAGAGTCATTTTGGTAGGAAGGCCTGGACTGGCATTGGCCTCGGTTCTTGAATACTCAGCAGAAGCCCTAGGAGCCAGTCAGACACAGCCACCATCCCTGTGGAGCCCCCATCAACCTGATGCTCATTCTGAGCAGGGTTCCTTTGCCTAAAGCCTTCCAGATTCATGCTGAGGTCCTGATCCAGGTCTATGACGTTCACCCCAGCACTACATGTCCTTGAAGACTGCCAGCAGTCTAACGGGGAGACTGACATATGGGGACACAAAAGCATATACTTCCACAGGATGGAAAACCAAAGAGCAAGCAGGGGTCCCTGCTAGGGCTGGGGTGATCCACTGAACCCAGGACACGCACTGGCATATTCTGAATAACACTGACACATAACCATATTCAGGGCTAAAACAAGCCCAATATTGGACAATACTTCACCTGCCAGGGGCTACTCCAAGAGCTCATGCAAACTTACAGACCCAGGAAAGCACTTACCTCTGTTGGCTGCAGCCATGGACACCTCCCCTGCCACTGGGCAAGACACACGGCTCCTGCTTGACACTGCCACTCAAGCTCAGTAGCCTGCCATGCTCCAGAGACAGTGGCAGGAACCTGAAGGATGAGGAATAAGGAAAACAGGGGTCAGGACTACCCATCAGCCCACGGCTGGTGAAGAATCAGAGGGCTCCCTTTGGGAAAGATTTAAACCCTTGCTGCTTTCAGAAAATACAGGGACATCTACCTGACCCTCCTGGCACCACTAAGGGCAACAGTGCTCAACTCTCTGCTATGGAAACAGGCAATTAAAGAGAAATAATCCAGCCTATATCTTGTACGTGAACTGCCTTCTTTACAGGCAACTTCCTGCTAATAACAAAGGATCAAATGCTAAGTCACCTGCACTCCTAAAGAAACAAATGCCAGAGGCAAGGACACTCAAGATGCTCAACCATGAGACAGTACAGATGCCCAAGTGGCACTAACAGATGACCTGGGGGTCCTGAGGGAGAACGACACAAGATTGCAATAGGGAGGTATAACATTGCCCCTCACTCACTGTGGGACGACAGTCACGCCTCCTGGTGTGAGACAGCCTGCATGGAGCACAGCATCTATGACCAAGGAGACTGATGAAGATGCTCAGACTAGACTAACTGAGCCTCTATGCCCAACTTCTTAACACGAAAAACACGGGATTGTGGGACAAATTGAGTAACTGTGAGCGTGCAATGAGACCATCCAGAAGGCAGGCTATGCCACAGGACAACTGACCTGTTTCTTTCAAACTGCAAGCGGGGGAAAGGGCAGACTGCTCTAGATATGGAATTGGGCCACAGCCTTTTTTTGTTTGTTTGCAAATAAAGTTTCATTGGGTGGGTCACAATGCCTCTTGTTCACTTGCATGTCACTGGTGACAGCTTCTGCACTAAAACAAAACTACTTGGAATAGCTGTGACAGAGACCATATGGCCTACACAATCTAAAATGTTTATCTATCGTCCTGTGTTAGATTAACACACATGTAAGGCACCAAGAAGGCACGAAAATCCTACAAGAAACCCACCCTTTTCACCTCATCAGCTACAAGAAATGCTGGAAGGAATTTCTAACTCCCTATTAAAAGAAGACATTGGGGGGCGGGGCTGGATGGCTCAGCAGCTAAATGTACTGCTTTTGCAGAGGACCTGAGTTCGAGTCCTAGAACCCATGTGAGGCAGCTCACAACTACCAGTAACTCCAACTCCGAGGGATCTGAAAACCTCTTCTGGCTTCCCCTGGCACCCACATTCATGAACACATATCCCCCCCCCCCAGATACATACATACATACATATATACATACATACATACATACAATTAAAAATGAAATAAATCTAGGAGGGTGGACATCTGGAAGCTGAATGTGGTGGCATGGCTTTAATCTCAGTACTTAGAAGAGGCAGGTGGATCTCTGTGAGTCTGTGGCCAGCCTGATCTACATAGCAAGATGCTATTGAGAGAAAGAGAGAGAGAGAGAGACAAAGAGATGAATATTTGGAAACCTGAAGATGTAACTCAGTAGTAGAGTGCCTGCTTAACATCTGGCAAGGCCCCAGCACTGCATAAATCAATTTAATTAAAAGATATAAGAAGGGCTAGAACAATGGCTAAGAGCACTTGTTGCTCAGTGCCCAGCACACAGCAACTCAAAACCAGGGGACTGATACCCTTCTGACCTCCTCAGCCACAGAGAAACATAGAAAGTTCGAAGCCAGTGTGAAACACTGATTTTATTTGGTGAGGTAGTGGAATTGTACTACAAATATATGCCCATATTTTTCAGAGAAGCACAGTAAAGTGTTTAGAGATGAATGACCCAAGAATGACCTTGAATAGTCCAGAGAATGAAGAGAAACCACGGGGTAGCGTTATAGTCAGTGGCTGGGCCTGTCCAGAACATGAACTCAAGGTCCCCTGAGTACTGAGCAGTCCTGGGAACCCCTGGGAATGAAGTTGGCCTTTCTTCCTTCCCTACTGTTGCCAGACAAGTCCACCCAGACCCCCGCCATGGTTAGAGTGTTCACAGACTGGGTCTCAGGACAGCCCTGGTAGAAAGGGGCCTGGAGAGATGAATGGACGTCCAAGATTCCCGACTCTGGAATGCAGAAGCAAGCCAAACAGGAACAGTCACCATCAACCCCCTCACAGAAGCTAGTCCCCAGGCCCTGGAATGAAGAGAGGCAAGCCATGCCCTACTCACCTCTGGTGAGGGTGGCTTGTGGTCAGCTCGCCTCCAGGGAGCCTAGCCTTAGAAAAGAGTTGACTCCTATTAACATTCCAGCCACTTCCTAAAGTGGTAGATTCTAGGCTGTGACAAAGGACCAGGGTATGCGGCCTCCTTCCTCATGGCGGCTGCTCCAGACACACTTCTGCAGCCCTGGGGTAGTCACAGTCCAGGGTCTACAAGGTTCTCCCATATCTCAAGATACTTCCCAGAGCTGTGGATGAAACCTGACCAGCAAAGGCTCCGATGAGCCCATTTAACAAAACAGTCTGACCTGGAGTAGTGCCCGTCTACCTTTGCTCAGGCCCTCAGTCAGAAATTCCCAACTCCCATCTACAGCTAAGCTCAGCCCCAGCCCAGCATCTTCTTTTTAGGAAAGCAACACACGCACCGCTCCCAATGCCAGGGAAGGCCTAACAGCTTCCCCCCTCACTCTCTGGTCACTTGTTTTCAATCTCTCTTACCATAAAGGGCAGTAATTGTAGCTTTGGCAAACGTCCTCGGTATCCATCAGAGCACCAGAGAGGAAGGTAAATTCAGTCTACATTTGTCGACGGAATTAATATGTTGATGAATGGCATCCCTAGGGAAGCCCCACCAGGACAGATGATACGGCGTGAGCAGGGCCCCACTAGGGTAGATGATATGGCGTGAGCAGGGTCCCACCAGGACAGATGATATGGTGTGAGCAGGGCCCCACCAGGACAGATACAGTATGAGCAGGACCCCACTAGGACAGATATGGTGTGAGCAGGGCCCCACTAGGGTAGATGATATGGCGTGAGCAGGGTCCCACCAGGACAGATGATATGGTGTGAGCAGGGCCCCACTAGGACAGATCATGTACTGTGAGCAGGACCCCACCAGGACAGATGATATGGTGTGAGCAGG